TAGAACGAGCCGTTTTAGGTAGGTGTGGCTGACTCTTAACTTTTATAAAGAATATCTCTTTGAATTTGAGACTTCAGTTTTTGCAACTTTACAGATCTTCTTTATGCACCAAGAGCTTGTAACACTCCAAAGAGAAAGGAACAATTGAAATCGCATCATATGACCCCTTTAAGTTATATAATATAACCCATAACCCGTGTTTGAGAACACTTGTCCCACTATGATTCATTTGAGGGCCAAATATGAGCACAAAATGTTCATCAATAAATGCAGAAATGTGTGGGATAATTGTGTAAATATAAATACACCATAAATAATAAACGCATAAATAAACGATCTGGTTGGGCATTTTTTTATGCAACATCTGCAACTAAGGCCTAACCCTATTGTTAAAAGCGCTATATAAATAAAGGTGACTTGACTTGACTTGAGGCCTGAATTAGAGTTTTAATATTTTAATAACTTATTAATTCTTATAACACTACATTTTTTTTATTTTTAGACGTAGTTTAATGGCCCATGAATTTGAGTCTATCGACTGAAAATAGATTTTTAATTTGATAATTTGTACAATATTTAACATAACATAAAACTATCTGATTCTAAACGTTTTAATTGTAGTGTACAAACAGCAAATATTTAATTATATTATAGCAGGTTTTTTCACCCCAGACAGTGTTTTCTGAAAGGCTGCTTAAAGAAAAATACGTTGTGAATTTTAATAAGCCTTCCTTTACAATTCCTATCTAATTAATGCATAACTCATTTTCAAACATGACCATGAACGCAGTTCATAGCAAAATTCTATTTGTGGATATTATTAGCATTGGAAAAAATCCTCAAATACAGCTGTACATGCAACAACGAGTTTAAAACCAAAACACCACAGACGTGCATTTACATAGTTTATTCTAAAGAGGCTCGTTTATCCATAAATTAACCAAAAGCTAAATCAAATTTTGCACAATAGCTCTCCAGCTTGAGAGGAAGCTGAAAGTGTCTGATCCCATCCTTCAGAGGGACTTCAGCAGTGTTTTACTGAAGAACAACACACGATGCGATGCAAAGCAGCTGGAGTGTGTCTGATCCTTTGTAAATATGAGTGTATGGCTGAACAATTCTGAAAAATGTCCCACTGCAAAAGAAATTCTAAAAATTAAAAAGCAGGTACGAAGAAAATAAACAAATATGTGATCCTTCTAAAAATCAGAAGATCAGCTCCATGGTCCGAGGCCTTCGGTCTCTTTCTTGAAGCGTGTAAGTGACAGGTTAGTATTAGCAGTCTTCCACTATGAAGTCAATTTGTTTTTATTCATCACACTCTTCTTCCTCTTCATCATCATCATCGTCAAACTGGTCTCTTGCATCCAGATCATCCTCATCTTCAATCTACGGGGAAAAGTCAAATCGAGAGCAAGAATAAGACGAAGGAGCTTCGAAACACACCACAGAAAGCCAGAGGAACGTACCGTCTCTCCCAAGTCCTCGAGTCTGTGTTTGAGGCTCAGAATCTTCTGGTCCTGGTCAGCGAGCAGCATGAGGAGATCGTCCTGCTCTTTCTTGGACTCCTGCAGCTCCTGCTGTAGCTTGCTCTTCTCCGTCTGCATGATAGCAGCTGAGCTCGTGGCTGAAGAAAGCTCCTTCTCCATCAGCTCCTTGCTCTCCAGAAGAGCTTGAACTTGCTCCTGACAGACAGAGAGTAGGAGTGCTATAAACGGGAATGTGAAAGCACATAAGATCTGGAACGTCATGATGGAAACAGAAAGAGCAGGTCACCTTGAGCGTCTGAGCCGAGAGTCTGCTCTCTAACTCTGAGCGGACAGCATCGTCTCCTGCAGCCGCAGCCTGACACAGACACAGACACAAACACAAACACAAGACTGAACTAAGAAGCACGATCACCATCGCTCAAAGCCTCGGGGTCAGTGAGAATACTGTCATTCAGCAAGGGTGCATCAAAAGAGACCGAAAAGAGTGACTGTGAAATCTGATTCCCCATTTTGAATCAAATTTCAATTCAATATCAAGTTACGTAGTCACTTCATAACATTTCAGGACGCTCTTATTTCCGGATGGCACAGATGCCTCTGAAGTGGCATTTAGATGCATTTGCATACACTGCGATTACAATTCCGTAACTAATACTTCATTTCACTTTTACAACATTAATGTCAGAGTATTGAAAATTAAAATAATACTTTAAATGTGAAACTACACTGCAAAAAAAAATGCTTTTCTTACAGATTTTTTTTGTCTTGGTTCCAGCCAAAATATCTAAAAATTCTTGAAACAACCATAATAATCTGCCAACGGGGTAAGCAAAATAATCTTGTTTTCTGTTTGAAAGAACATTATTTTGCTTACCCCACTGGCAGATTTTTAGATATTTTGGCTGGAAACAAGACAAAAATCTAAGTAAGAAAAGCATTTTTTTGTCTTTGTCTTAATGAGTAAATGAATCATTGAATCATTCACTCAAATGATTCATTCAATAAAACACTGCTGTGTTGTTCAGAGATGCACAGCGTTTCCTCAAACTTCCGTCTTTTCTGCATTACACTACAGTCACACCACGCACTCTCACTGGTGCTTTCTTTATTAAATAATATTTAGAAAATAATTTTTTACAATCTGGGAGTCGATTTGATCGTTAGAAGATACAATCACATTTTCCCCCTCCACCCCTAGTGCACCTGCCCGGGATGACTGGATTTGAGGATTTTAAGACTGAAATGTTCAGCAGGCAGATGATAGGGACACTCACTGTGGTGTCAGATCCTCTGAGAAGCTGGTGTTTCTCTCTCTGTAGTTGTGCGATCTCTGCGCTCTGGCTCTGCAGCTGAGCTCTCAGCAGCTCCACCTCCTGCAACCACACAAAAACAGTGCTGTCTAATCGCATTGTTATCGAATCATAATGTTACGTGCTGAAATCTTCACTGTATATCACGAAGAGAAAGCTTGGAACTTCACCTTTTGTAATTCTGTGGCGTCTGAAGTCGAGCCCTCTGCCGACGGTGTGGCCTCAGCCTTCTGCTGGACACCAAACAAACATTTCCAAATATACCACTACTGTTTGAACGCTTTGGGTCGGTATGATATTTTTCTTTTGGGAGGGGAAGGAAATTAATACTTCTGTTCAGCATGGACGCATTAAACTGATCAAAAGTGACAGTAAAGACATTTATAAAGTTACAAAAGATTTCACATAAATGCTGTTCTATTCATCTGTGAATCCTGAAAAATAATAATAATCAGAAATGTTTCTTGAGCAGCAAATCAGCATATTAGAATGATTTCTGAAGATGCTGAAAATTCAGCTTTGATCACAGGAATAAATTACAGTTTAACAGATATTCACAAAGAAAACAGCTGTTTTAAATTCTACAAATATTTCACTGTTTTTAACGCGTTTTTGATCAAATAAACAGCCTTGATGAGCAGAAGAGACGTATTGCAACATAAAAAAAAAAAAGAATCATACCAATGACCCCCACACGCACGCACACTCACGCACGCACTCACACACTCACGCACTCACACACTCGCACGCACGCGCACGCACTCACACACTCACGCACGCACGCACTCACTCACTCACTCACACACACACACACACACACACACACACACACACACACACA